CCACGGATGGGTTGTGTTCTTTGTTTGATCTGGGTATACAAGGTGTGTGACAGTGTGTGACACTCTCCCACACGCTTCGGAATCGGATTCCCTGTTATTCACGGTGTAAAAATGATGTAAGCAACGCACGTGAACATATTGTGAGTTGTCCTTACCTCACAGTGGTTACTATGAGTTTGTCTTTTCTTTTCTGATTAGCTCAATACCTGATCTTACAGGGAGAAAATAAAAGAAAAAAAGGAAAAAGAAAAAAGAAGGAGAAGAATCGTTTCTTTGTTATCTCCGTGGGTGCGTCTGTTTGCTGAACATTCTTCTCGTTATCTGGTACACGTGCAGCTGCTGGAGGTCCGATGGTTACAACCGCTGTCTATTGGCAGCGACACACCTGCGCTTTCTTGTATACGATATATTTCGATCTTTCCGACTACCGTCTTCCGCCGAACAATACACACGCTGAAAATGAACATATACAAGGCATGTTTCCGGCTCGATACAGTCAAAAAAATGAGGATGCATTGTGCTCAGGGGGGAAGACAGTAGACAGTAGTATGCTGTGTTCTTACACTTCCTGGAAACCAGGACGGAGTGTGAATGCCTTTCATCTTTGACCCTGGCTGTCTCCAGATCCTGTCCCCTTCTCTTGCATTTTTGTCCCCCTCTTCTTTTGCTTCTCTCTCTCGTTTTGTCCTTTGCATGTGTCACCTGATTTCTTTCTCTTGTTCACTTTAAGCCTTTGTTTATCAACGACTGAAGAAGAAAGAGAGGGTTAAGCTTTGTTTGGACGCACCTTTTTCCGCCGGCGGTTTGTTAGAGTTGACTTCTCGTCAGCGAGCTGAACAGTGAGTCGGTGACGGATGATTGAATTTACTGTCGTTGGTCCCAATCATTGGATTTGCCGTCCGTTCCGATCGTTGGATTTACCCTCTGTGCCGATCATTGGATTTACCGCCGGTCGCACTCGGTCCCGATCGTTGAATTTACTGTTGGTCCCGATTAGAATCTGTGTATTGAGTCGGTGACGGATGATTGGATTTACTGTTGTTGGTCCCAATCATTGGATCTACCATCCGTTCCGATCGTTGGATTTACCCTCTGTGCCGATCATTGCATTTACCGTCAGTCGCACTCGGTCCCAATTGTTGAATTTACCGTTGGTCCCGATTAGAATATGTGTATTGAGTTGGTGACCGATGATTGGATTTACCACAGTCTGTCCCAATCATTGGATTTACCGTCCGTTCCAATTGTTGGATTTACCCTCTGTCACTCTGTGCGGATCATTGGATTTACCGTCGGTCGCTCTCGGTCCCAAACGTTGAATTTACCGTCGGTCCCGATTGGAATCTGTGTATTCCGCTTGTCAAAATTGGGTATCGGGTACTTCATTACGTAAGAATGGTCGATTTTTTGTTCTTTGCAGGAAATTATTGGCATTTTACTGCTGTTTTCTCCTTGTTCCCCCTCCCCCTGTGCCTCTGTATGTTGACGGCTGCAAAAGAAAAGTGGGTCTCTTGATTAATGGTGATCTTTTATCAAGTTTTATGTGCGGTGCATGTTGGCAGGATGTTGACAATTGGTCAGCATTCAGGAGCAATGTCTTTTTGGATTTACCGTTCGTCGTGAACCGTAATTCATGTTTGGAGTTGATATTTAATGCAGTTAATTTGAAGTAATTTATGTTTGGTTTGACCGATAGAGTCGACAGTGACTGAGCGTTTGGATTTTTGTGTCAAATTGTTGGAGTGAATAGTATTCGATGTTTGGGTTTTTACCGTTGGAGTTTACCATTTGCGGCAGGTTACAAGGGTTGACTGCGGGTCGGCAGTAACAGACAGTCAAACGTTAGGACTTTGACTTCCTCCCCATCATCGGAAACTGTACAATTCACTGGTCAACATCAGAGTGATCGTTGACTTTCTTGCGGTTGGAGTCGACAGTAATGGATGTTTGGATTTACCGTTGGATTTACCCCGTTTGCGATAAACTCGAGTGTCGAATCGTCGTAATTGGTCTCGTCCACTGGTCAGCATGGGAACTAGTTTTGGGAATTTGTGTGTCCCTCTGGTGAACATCGGAATTATCTTTGACTGGCTAAGAACGACTAGCGGTAGGAGTCAACCGTAATGGATGTTTGGATTTACCGTTCGAGTTAAAGTTTTACCCATTTGGGGTGGGATCAAGTGCTGAGCCGTCCGTCAGAATTTGTCTGTTCCACTGGTCAGCATTGGCATTAGCTTTCAGAATCTGTCCGTCCCACAGGTGACAGGTCAACATCGGAAAGATTCGGAATTAATTATGTTGACTTGCTTGTTAATAATGACCGCTCAGTTCTAGCGTGGAAGTTGACCACCTCTATCGATTTTTAATATTTTTATGTTTCTTTTCAGTTTCGGGAATTTTCTTTTCATCGTATTAATTTTTTTCGATGATGTAAGAAATAATTGCGGCAGTTGGAGTCAAAAGTAATTTGATGTTTGGATTTACCGTTGGATTAACCACCCAGTTTGTCGTGGGACTGAGTGTTGAGCCGTCGCGGCCCGTCAGAGTTTGTCCGTACCAGCGGTCAACATTGAATTTATCTTTGATTTTATTGTTAAAAATGACTGGTCAGTTCTGGCATGGAAGTCGGTGCTTGGAGTCGACAGTAATGGATGCTTGCTTGGATTTGCCGTTGGGACAGAGTGTCGAACAGTCAGAATTTGTCCGTTCAGGGGATCCACATTGGATTCCCGGTGTGACTGCCGGTCAAAAAACACGAAAAAAATTGTACGCGAGTAGAACACTTGCGTCGAACTTGGTGGTTGTACTCGACCCACAAACTAATTTTTCGTGGGTTTTTAGGCCTCCAAAAAATAAAATAAAATGGGGGGATAGCCCCTGTCCTGTACTGGCCCTGGCCTTCTGTGGATGCTGTTCACACACACACACACACACACACACACAGAGAGAGAGAGAGAGGGAGAGAGAGAGAGAGAGAGAGAGAGAGAACGCTTCCCTGAACCCTCATTTTGGCGGTGCTAGACCGGGAAAAGATATCTTGTACACATTCGTTGTCAGGGTGGGTCTCTCAATCCACCCTAATAACCAATGTATACAAGTTATCTTTCCAGTCTGGTGCAGCCAACATGAGAGTGCAGCGTGTTTTAACTTTTAAAAGCACTCTCCATGTGGGCGCATTCCCCCCAACCCACCTCCCCCCCCCAAGAAAAAACATCTTTTGGGACCCAAATGGGCGTTGTACGCCCATATAATCCCAGGTACGGTGGTACCCCAGATATAAAGTTAGTACTAATCCACAGAGCTTCATACTTATCTTGAAATTAGGATTTAGTCATGATATGAAACTTCAAGCTTCGCCTTTGGTTCGTGTGTTTTGCTTAAAACCTACCCTAATTTGTTGTACTGGAATCGACCGACAAAAGGTCACACAATTTGCTGCCAGAATCAAACGTTGTAAGCCTCCTGAAGTTTATAAAGGAAAGGGTCTTCGATATCGAAATGATATTATACTCTAGTAGATATCCCATGAACAAMGTCATAGCTTCGTCCTCAGTTTGATATGAAGTACAAAAAAGAATTAAAGGTAATAAAGAAGGCAATGTGGTAAAAAAGAAGAAACTAGTTTTTCGAGAGTCTGTAGATCTCAATCCAAGAGTCAAACAAGAATGAATACCCCATCGTACGCTATGTAGTGTACACAGCGTACAATGCGACACCCAGATCGGATTTATCTTTGACTTGCTGGTTTAGAATGACCAGACCGGACCGGTCTGTTCTGGTGCAGAAGTTGCCCAGCCTGGCCAGCCTGGCCCCCGAAAGCCGGTGGCAAAAGTTACGGATCCCCTGCTCGGCGCTCACATCGAAGCGCAAGGCTTTCGGGGCCCTTGCCATGGCGGCCACGCTCAGGAAACAGGGCGCAAACGAGTAGAAACGTTTTCTCGGCGGGGGGATCTATAACTTTTTCCTATTTTTTGGTTGGTGAAGGGGGGGGGGGGGGGGTAGTTACGGTAGTATCATAGAGGAAATACAAAATAGTTGTGGAATTTGATTTTATTCATGTTCGTCTCGTTGGGGCCCTTGCCAGTTGCCCTGCTTGTCCCGGGTGACATCAACATTATCTTCTACGGTACGCTATGGCAGGTTAAGGACTCCCGGGTGACATCAACATTATGTTCTACGGTACGCTATGGCAGGTTAAGGACTTACATTAATATCCCGTTCGACCCCTTGGTAGGCCTTTGTGATTGTGTGAGGATTTTTTTTTTCTGTCTTGGAGAATTTCCTGATTCGTGCGTGTCGTCATCCTTGGGGCAGGGTTACGCTAATCTTCTCGGTTGTGTGATTGTCTCTCTGGGAATTATGTGCTCAAGTGGCACTCTTTGTGTAACGTCACACAGGAGACTTGGCATTAAGCTGGCTCCACTGGGTTGGTTGGTTTTTTTTTTTTTTTTTTTTTTTTTTTTTTTTTGGGGGGGATTAATAATTAAGTTGACCTTGGCATTAATTTCTCGATTTATGCGTCGCCCCGGCATTAATTTCTCGATCAATGCCTCTCATCATTGCGCTGAGGCCGTGCTATCATTCTCTGGATCGTTCCCATTATAATGGATGTGTGAAAAGGACTGGCAGCGGTTGTTGCTGACGTTGAAGTTTCTTTTCTGTGAAGTAAAGCTGAATTACTCTGTTTGGCTGTGTTTAGACTCTTCACGGTCCAGCTGCTTCTTTTTTTCTTCTCTTTCATTCTTCACGGTTGAAAGTGATTAACTGGAGCAGTCATTACTCTTGGTAATGATGTCTGATGTTTTGTCTCTGTTGCAGTTTGTCGTCTCAGCGAGGCAAACCAAAAGAGAGGTCATTCGTGATACCATGCATTAATTGCTCCTTGTGTGAGAATCGAGGGGTTGGGGCCGACGATGTAACAAAGTGGGACACCAACAGTGGCGGAGGGTCGAGGTCGAGGCCGACAACGAGACCGAACAAGTGTCTCGCAGACGGAGACGTGCCGCTGTTCTTTTACTGATGGTCTGTGTGTGATATGATGCAATCTGGACCTAGATCGAGGGCAGAGGACATTGAAAAAACTGAGCAGGGAAGTCTTAGAGAGGAAATGGGGGTGGCACAGGACAAGATGGCGCGTGAGGAAGACCTGCCCGGCTCCGAGCAACAGCATCTCATACCCGAGATGAAGGATATGGCAACATCAGGACGGGAGGAGGAGGCGCCGTTAATACCGAGAACAAGGGAGGTGCCAACAACGACAACGAGAGGAGGGGATAACGAGGAGGAGGAAATCCATGAGGCTGAGGAAGAGGAGAGGAGAGGCGGTATTCCCATCTCCACAGTTGCTCAGGTTCCAGGCGGAGAAGAAGGAACAGCAGGTGGAGCCAAGCAAGGACGAGGTGGCCGTGCCACCTCCCCCTCTCCCGATCCAACCTATCAGTCCTTAGAAGATTTTCTGCAGACGCCTGAGGCGAGTGAAATGCGCGGACTGAAGCCTGGCTTTGCCGCGCCAGAGCCACTGGACGAGCCCCTCAACGTTATGCCGTCTGTCAAGCTGACGATCGACAGAGCAAAGGAGTACGTCCAGGACGCATCCCAAACAGCGACCGAGAAGTTGGTCAGCGGATTGGTGTCCGTGAAGGATGTTTCCGCCAAAGCGATTGGTGAAATGAAGGAGAAGGCCATGGGTACCGGAGAGGTAGCGAAGGAGAAGGTGGTGGAGGGTGCGAGCGGGACGAAAGAGACCTTGGAACACCTCAAGGACCGCGCGGTGGAGGGAGCGGAAGAGGTTGCAGAAGGGGTCAAGGACAAGGCCCTTCATGTGAAAGAGGCTGTGGCCGCAAAGCTCGCCTCCGCTAGTACTCGCAGCAGTGGTCAGTTGGAGGAAGAAAGGGTTTCTCCTCGTCACAGGGTCATGTCTGGTCCTCCTCCTGGGTTTGCCGCCCCCCCAAAAGTCGAAGGGGAAGGTCCGACCATCGGGGAGGTGCTGCAGAAGGTGACTGATCGCTTGATGAAGACGAGTCTGACTGAGGCTGTGAGGAAGACAGTTTCGACAGCGACGGATGCAACAACTGAGGGCGTGGAAACGGTGAAAGAACGGTCTGCCGAGACTCTCGAGGCAGTGAAATCGAAGGTGGGCGAGACCAAGGATGCGTTTAAATGTAAGGGAGAAGAGGCGAAAGAGGCACTGAAATTGAAGGGTGAAGAGGCAAAGGACAAGGCCGCGGAGATGGCTGGGAGTTTGAAAGAGGGCACGCTGGAGAAGAAGAGGGAGGTGGAGGAGGGTGCGAAGTCGAAAACAGCTGAGTTGGGTGAGAAGATCGAGGAGCTGGGAGAAAAGATACAAGAAAAGGCGGAGGGGTATAGTAAGGAGCATGCAGAGGGTGCTCACCAGGGTTTGGAAAGGAATTCGCAGCGAAGGACAGAGGTTGCCGAGCCGGCTGCAGGGAGGGAAGAAGAGGAGGAGGGGGAGAAGCAGGAACTTCAAGGCGCGCCAGCTGTGGACGTCGGTCACTCTGCAGCTGAAACGGAGATGGCGACAAAAGTTGAAAAGGACCCGGTCCCAACGTAGGGTTGACCATTTCAAAGGTTGCGATGTAGAGTTTGACCAAGAGGTTTTTCGAACGTATCCGAGTCTGACGCTCCGGACGGATCCGGACGGTTGTGGCATTAAGTTCGACCAGGAGGACGGTCGGAAGGTGCGGAGTTTTTGGCACTTCCCTGGTCCCCATAACATAAAGTTTGACCATCCGGACGGTCGCGGCATTAAGTTTGACCAGGCAAGGACAGCCCATGACATAAGTTTGACCATCCGGACGGTCGCGACATACAGTTTGACCAGGCTAGGACAGTCGGGAGAAGCAGTTTTCGGCTTTTCCCTGGTCCAGGTGATGTAAGTTCAACCATCCCTAGATTCCCGACTGCATTTGATTGGCAATAAAGTTTGACCAGGAGAGGAAGGACGGAAGGTTTGCACTTTGAAGTTTTCGGCACTTCCCGACCGGTGACCAGGCGAGGACAGTCGGCAGGGTGATGAAGTTCGACCATCCCGACTCAGCCGACTGCATTTGATTAGCAACAAAGTTTGAGTAAGAGAGGAAGGACGGAAGGTTTGAGTTTTCGGGATTTCCCTGGACCAGGTGTGGATCGCCTAGGTTTTTTACCTTCCCGACCGGTGACCGCATTTGCCATACTCAGCATATTGGTAGTACTGGGAGCAAAAAGAAGTGAGAGGATATGCACGGGAGGCTCGGGAGGGGAGTTCTGAGTTTTATAGATCTGACCTGAGTTTGACGACCGATGTTAGGGGAGGACGGTAGCAAGGGCTAGGACAGGAAATTCTCAGGAGTTTCTGGGCACACTATGGACGATGATCGATGTTAGGGAAGGAGGAGGGTAGCAAAGGGTAGGACATAAAATTTTCAAGTGTTTCTGGTCTGACTATGGACGACAAGGTTTGAGGAGCCCAAGGCCAGCTGCCAGGAGGTCCAGGACTTAGCGACCAGCGCTGGTCTAGCAGGCTGGTTAATAATATCATAAGGAATTTTTCAGTCGACAATCATGCGGAGATATAAGTGGCCATCCTCATATTACAGAAAGCTCGTCGGCGCAGAGAGGTATGGGTGGAGCATGGGAGAATGGCGGCGTAGGGTAGCGTAGCATTTTGGGCCTTTTTTCTCAGCTGAATGTGGCCATAAACTCGACCTGAAACATGCATATGGTAGGTAATTGTGAGACGTAGCTACTATCTGCCTGCGTAAGAATATCATAAGCGAGCTGGACGCAACAATCTTAGGACTGACAGTGGTGCAGAGACTGACAGTGGTGCAGAGATATACGTGGCCATCCTCATAGAGAAAGTTTGTCAGTGTAGACAAGGAATGGATGTAGTCTGCGAGAATGAGGGCGCAGGTAGTATTGTGAGACTTTTTTTTTAGCTGAATGTGGCCAAAAATTCGACCTGAAACATGCGTGAAAGGCAAGATTCTGAGTGAGTGCGACACAAGACTCTGAGTGAGTACGACACCACAAACTCGGTGTGATCTCTTACGGTTTCAAATCAGTAGAGGTGCGAGGGGAGGTCGGTCAGGTTGATAGCTTTGGGAAGGGTATATAAGGCCCACATTGATGAGTTTTAGGCCCTTTTTTAAGGGCCAGTGTGGGTAAGGGTATTTAGGGCTTTAGGGCCGACTAGGCCCCACTTTGAGAACGCAGTCTTATGTTCGGCGGGAGCAACAGTGGGTATGCAGCAGCAGGAATGCAGGGATCGAAACCTTTCCTAAGTAGGAAATTCTACGGTACGCAGCAGCAGCTGCCAGGTAGCCAGGAAGTGTACGGTATCGTAGCCTTAGGCCCTTAGAGAGTGAAGGGCACTCTTCCTATTCTCTGCAGTTAGCGCTGACTGAGGGTGTGAATTTGTTAGTAGACTATAGAAAAGGGCGAAGGGTTTGCTGACTCTTAAGCGTGTAAATTTGTTCGTTAGGAGTAGATCCTTAGAGAAGGGGTCTTGTGGGTTTGGTTGGGTTTTCGCGCTGCGTTCAGGACCTTAGGTCTTCTCCTGAAGCATCTGGAAAATGCTAACGATTTCCTAATATTCGATGGTAATAGGGAGTTCCTAAGGACCTGTTCAATCGTGGGTATTGTGTATAAATATAAACGATTTGGACTCTTTGGAGTCTGTAAATGTGTTGTACAGAAAAAAAAAAAAAAAAAAAAAGTAAATGCGTAGTACCTCCTCTACACTTCTGTGCAGCTGTGAGTTGTGTGACAGTGGTGTCTGAAGACTCTGAAGTTTGTGTAAAATAGTGGTAGTGAGCAGAGTTGGGACATTGGATCCATTTTCTGGGACCCCGGGCCCAGTTCCCCGCAGGTGCAGCTAGCCAGAAGCAAGACTGCTTGTGGCTCCCCGGTCATTATAGCTGTATTTGAGCCATCTTTCAGTCTAGATACAGCTAGAATGACCCGTCTTTTGGACCAGGTCCTGAACATAGCGCACCGTCAGCGCGATTGTATCCGTGGCTGGAATGATCATTTCTATGTATTCATAATAAGTGTGCATTGGGTTCAGGGGGTGAAGACGAGGTGAGAGCTAACCCCAAAAAGAAAAAAAAGAAAAAAAAAAAAGAAAGAGGACTCCAATTTTTCTGCAAGCACAGCGACGATTTCTTTTTTGCGCCCACCAAGATGGTTGTCATGACTGTATTGGCACTTTCAAAAGTGAAACAGGTTACAGGTCATGAGATCAAGTCCAGGTAGATACAGAGCTTGGGTTGCTGCCTCCTGTTGTTGAAACCTAGTACCGTCTTCACCCGAATAGAAAGCCCGGTAATTGTTGCCGTATCTGGACTGAAAGTTGCACCAAATACAGCAGTTATAATGACCGGGCGTTCTATTCGGGTGAAGACGGCAGTTGATCAGGTTGTATATACAAAAGTGGGACGGTTGTGACATTGTCACGAAGGTTGTTGAAGAAAACCGCTGTGACATCGCATGACGACGCATTAAGAAAACTCCTCGTGTGAAGACTATGTTCATAATTGAACTTAGCCGGAAAGAACTGCAGACACGTCCAGGAAGGTTCTGAGTGGGCAATAAGTGAAGTAAGAAAACCAAATCGAGCCGGGAATCCAATAACGAATAGCCATATTCACGATGGGCAACCAACCACCCAAAAATAAAAAGAGTATATAAACTACCCTAGCAAAAAAAGATCTCAGGATGTTGTTAAATTGTTATTGTTAAGTTGTTAACTCTGCCGGAACTATCATTATCATCATCATCGGAATTACTATCTTACACTTTTCTAAGAATCACCACAAGTCCATCATTACTAGCATTACCATCATCATCATGAGGGACGCTGAGCCCGGTTCTCAGCATGTTCGGTTCGGTTACTCCGGGTAGACTGAGGACCCCGGCCTCAATCTTCATTTGAATAAAAAAAAAATTCAAAAAAAAAAAAAAAAAAAAAAATCTGCCGGAACTAAGGGGTCAGACACACCCACGAAAGTCGATTGAACTTATCCAGGAAGAACTTCAGATACGTCCAGGAAAGTTCTGAGTGGGTAATAACTACTAACAAGTGAAGTAAGAGATCTAAGGATGTTGTTAACTCTGCCAGAACTAAGGGGTCAGATAGTACGCCCAGGAAAGGCCCAAGTGTGGAATAAAGAAGATGTCGACGATGCGGGCCCTGGCTGCGCTGCCAAATTGGCATAAAGAGCGAGATAATGACCAGAGAAAAAAAGTAAACAGACGTTAGACTTTTTGTCCTAGGACATTATCGGATATCTTTGATGCTAATAACATAATATTATTGATATATGTAAAATAAAAATGACTTCCCGCCCCCCCCCCAAAAAAAAGGAGCCTGATTCACAAAAGGATAAGGGTTGCCAGTCAAGCAAGTGAAGGGAGGGGCTACGTCCCAAGATCTACGGTCCCAGATCGCATAGGTTCAGAATTATTTGCGTTGTGACGGTGGTCTAAAAGACTGTACGGAAAATTTGTCTCGCACCCCTGTATTTTGCGTTATTTTGTGTTGCGCCCCTCCGGCAGCTGATTTACCCTGTCGTGCCCAACTGACAAGAAGTGAAATTTTCCATAAAACCCTGGTGTCGCTTGGGAACTTTGGGCCTCACATGTTTTCGTAGTGCCCCTACGGTACCCACACTAAATTTGCAGCATGCCCCTACCGGATAGCCGTTGGAAAATTTCTGATATGCCCCTACCGGTACCAACGATCTCTTGAACAGGTAAGTCCCGAACCTCGTGGCTGACCTCATGCTACTTCCGTCGATAGAGAGTAAAATTGAATGAATCTACCGCTAGAACATGGAAATATACACTGCCCAACTTGTTTGTTTGTTTGTTTGTTTTGTGTGTGTGTGTATGAGAGAGAGAGAGAGAGAACACATAAGTCTCCAGCCTCCCGGCTGACCTCATGCTACTTCCATCGATAGGATGAGCAAAATCTAATGAATCTACCGCTAGAACATGGAAATATACACTGCCACACTTGTTTGTGTGTGTGTGTGTGTGTGTGTGTGTGTGTGTGTGTGTGTGAGAGAGAGAGAGAGAGAGAGAGATGGCTTACCTCATGCTACTTCCATCGATAGGATGATCAAAATCGAATGAATCTCCCGCTAGAACATGGACGTATACACCGCCACACTTGATTTTGTGTGTGTGTGTGAGAGAGAGAGAGAGAATCTCGCACACACACACACATGCACAGACGCACACAAACAAGTGTGGCAGTGTATATTTCCATGTTCTAGCGGTAGATTCATTCGATTTTGCTCATCCTATCGATGGAAGTAGCATGAGGTCCGCCGCGGGGGTGGAGCCTGACGTACTCTCTCTCTCTCTCTCTCTCTCTCTCTCTCTCTCTCTCTCTCTCTCTCACACACACACACACAAAAAAAAAAATAATAATAATAATAATAATAATAACAATAATAATAATAATAATATAAAAAAAAAACAATCAAGTGTATCAGTGTACATTTCCATGTTCTAGCGGTACATTCATTCGATTTTGCTCATCCTTTTGATGGAAGTAGTTCGTATGACCTTTTGTCCCAAAGATGCTTTGATTAAACCAGACGATCCTGTTGGGAAAAGAGGACCCATGTAAAGGGAACATTCCATCTAGCAATCAATTTACTCTTAGCTGTTTTGTAAAGAATGTTGGTTTGACAAAGTGTTCTCCAAAGTTTTCTCCATTCAGAACAGATAAGATTACGAACTGAGAGTCTAAATTTGCTGCGAATAGCACAGAGAGACCAAAGGTTGCCTTTGAACCGTCTGTCCCTCCGTGCCAGCCGCAGAGTCCAGAAGCCCAAGACTCTGAATTTATTTGCTATTTTTGCTTGACCGTCTGCCTCGCCGCCCCCTAGCATGATGAATTATTTTGTCCATACCTTTTTTGGGCCATAGGCAAAACACCATAAGGAGTCTAGCCAGTCCCAGAAGCCTCAGAGTCTTGCGACCACACAGTCCCACCATAAGTGATTGGAGTCCTCTAATGCTTCATGAGGACTCAGGACAGACATCACACACAGGGGAGATAGCCATCCCTTTCTGCACACACCATTCCGCTGTCAGCACACTTGAATGTAAGCGTAGCCCCTGCAGTCCTGCGACTTTAACTTCCGTGATACTTAAGATCAGTGATATTGGCTAGAGTGCGACTGCTCAGATCATGATTCTGATTAGCAGAAAATCATCAGTTTTGCATCATCATCATTATCCTCATCATCATATGTTGGTTACTCCGGGTAGACTGTGAGGACCCTGACCTCATTGTTCTCAAATATCAATACAAGCCTTGGGCACTGGGCCCTTTAAAAAAGAAAAAAAAAGATCAGTGAGAGGAACAGACTTTAAATTACCCAAGCATTGTTGAAGGGGGGCAATTCCGAAACCAGGTGTTTCCTCCTCCAGCTGTTCCAAGTACTCACCTGCAATGTGGACGCCCTGGAGCGTAATGCATAACCGAATTTGGTGGCACAAAGAGTAGTCGGAGATCAGCACTCTGGTGGAGACCGCCGATTCCGCTGACCCTACTCTTTGTGCCTCTATTTTCCAGTGCTTGCAGGGACTCCCAATACGCCATCTGCAGGTGGGGGAACTCTCTCTTGTTGTCACGCAAGCACTGGAAGTACCTGCAAGCACTGGAAGTACTGCCAGCGGAAAGAGTCTCTGGTTTTTTATATTGGGAGTACCTCCCAATATAAGTGAGAAGCGCTTATTCCCCTTGTGGTCATCTTCTGATGTCTTCACCTCATCCCATAGGTGATCTCCAGGTGGGGGAACTCTCTCTTGTTGTCTGATCAGAGACCTCTTGCCCGGAGTCCACACTGATGCTGCCTTGGTTCGCTGGTCATCCTGTAGCTCAATTCTGAAAAATCGGTCCTTGTTGCCTGGGTCACACCACCATGTCCCCACTGGCCATTCGATTCTGTGTGTCCTCAGCATGTTTACCCATTCTTGGGGTATAATTGCCCATATCAGGCTTTCTCTGTGGCCCTCTATTCTCTGCAGGCCAGCAAGCTTTCCCTTGAGTTCTTCACTGGATTTCCATTGGCCACAGTGACTGTCTTCATCCACCAGGTGTTGAATCTGCCACACCCCTCTTTGCATCCATTTCCGGGCAAAATTGCCAGGTCTGTTTGCAACGGAGAAGGAGCGGCCTGATCCATCTGTTATAGCAGGGTTATCATATAGGCATGTATTTAGGATTTCCCGTTTGTAGGAGGGGTAGGATATTATTGTACGGTAGGATTCTACTCCAGGCTTTAAGGATGGGTGACCAGCTGGGAGATTTGACGGAGGATACAAAAGGGTGTAGGAGCATTGCTTGCCAAACAGCTGCGGGGTCAGATAGCCCCCACTGGCAATCTTTGCACAAGATAGCCTGTGGCGCTGCGCTAACAGCACATCCATGGCTGTTGGGAATCGGAAGTAAGGAGTCGC